GAAGAGAAGAGAAGAGAAGAGAAGAGAAGAGAAGAGAAGAGAAGAGACAGAGTTGGAAGGGACCTTGGAGGTCTTCTAGTCCAACCCCTGCTTAGGCAGGAATTCCTATTCTATTTCAGGTTATCCAATCTCTTCTTAAAAACTTCCAGTGTTGGAGCATTTACAACTTTGGAGGCAAGTTGTTTCAGTGATTACCATAATTGTTCTGTCAGGAATTTTTTTCCTTAGTTCTAGGTTGCTTCTCTCCTTGATTAGTTTCCATCCATTCCGTCTTGTCCTGCCTTCAGGTGCTTTTAATAGCACATGGAGCTTGACTCCCTCTTCTTTGTGGTAGCCCCTGAGATAGGTTAATGCTAACCTAGATGGGTTCTTGCAAAGTTCAATCAACATACCTCTAAGACCCCAATTCCAGCTGCAACTCCACCCACTACAGCTGCATTCTTACGAATTTCAGACAGCATCTGAGGGAAGCAGCCCTGGAATTAAAACAAACAAAAAAAAAATCAGTTAAATTTAAAAAGAACTAGTTCTGTCTAGAAATTCCAAACCCCCTTTGCCTGGAAACAGTTCAAAGGTACCATTGCATTTGGCTGGTAATTCACCACAGTTCTTTGTAGAAGAGTGAAGTCCTGAACTTATTTTAGATCCACATTTTTTGAAACACTGAGTCAAAAATGCCAAGTATAGAATCTGGGTGCTAAATCACTGAGGGTCACTCCACTCAAAGCCTTGGCCCACTTTGCTCCAGAATAGACATGTTTCCATACCTTCACTTCAAAGCTTGCAGCTACAGTTTCATTGCAAGAAATGTCAGAGAGAGACGAGATAGAAGAGTTGCAGCATTGCCCTGGATACGACTTTGTTTCCTTGTAGAAATAGGAGTCACTAAAGTCTGTGTAATTTGACAAACCACAGCACTTCAGCTAAGGAAAAAAAAAACATGTATTAAAATTAGAGTTCACATTCACCCACAGGGGATTGCATTAGAAGACCTTCAAAGACCCTTCCAATTCTATTATTCTGTTATTTATGTATTTATTTATTCTATTTCAACATACAATCCTCAATAAAAACTCCTTACCCACTAAGAATCCCACTGTAACTATATTTTCTTTTATATTAATGCTTGTCTGTTTATAAGCAAACATTAGAAGCATTAAGATGACCCTCAATAAACTATGATACATTTATGATTAAGTTTCTGAGAGGAAGACTTCCAACTTTGAGGTAAAACTAACTGGCAGCTGTAAAGAAAGCAACATCATTTCTACTTAGGTGTAAGGGAGATTTCTACATTTTCTCATAAAAAATCTTGCATATAATATGGAGATTGGAATACCAACTTACTTGAGTCATTGTAATATTCCATGCTTCAGTAAGTGGGTTAGATTTCCCATAGTCATCTTTTAGTACTTTTGCCACTGTTGCTTGCAATATAGTCTCTGCCTGAAAAGAAGAAAAGAATTATACAAAACATATGAGAACATATAATAAGCTTTCCTTATAAAGATGCAAGGCCATTCTTTCATCTCAGCATCTGTGGTATTATTAAGATTCTGCTTCACCTTCTGTAGGTCCTTTATGTAAGAATAGATGGCCTTCGTGGGCTGCTAAACATATTTGGAATCGGGGAAATATCATTGGCACTGACACATAATGTCTTCCATAATGGGTACTCATGTAGTGAGATAACTCCCCACCAAGCTTTTTGAGGCATTCTAGCATCTTTGCTTATCTTGGGCATCAATAGACACAAAATATGCAGCCATTCACCAATTTGATTTTCTAAAAATATTTATTGAGTCTATGTGGGAACCAGCCAGAGGTGGTAATATGGGTTGTTGTTTTTTTTAAAAAAATAATGTTAAAGGTCGAGACATTGCAATATACCTGCCTCATTTATTCCATTTCAGTGAAAAAAATATTTCAAAAATAAAGCCGGAGCCTGGCAGGTCAAGGAAATTAACCATGGATGCACTGGGGCTAATGGACATCAGGTGGCCTAGCCCTTTCCTTCCAATAAAACCCCAAATTCAGAGACACCTGAAAACATCTATTTTCTCTGCACAATTGTTATTCAGTGATGAGGTGATTCCATTCATCTCTATGTCACTTTTTTTAATCAGTTCAATCTCCTCTTAACATCACAGAAGAATGCAGCGGGCACTGAAGAAACAAGACTACTCAAAACCCCTTAGGCATCACAGATGACAGTGCTTGGAGTTCCAAAGATGTAATTCTACAGCAAAGAATTCAATTCTGTGTTACAACTCGTTTTGTTACTGCCCGTATCATGGTGATTGCCAAAAAAGGGCAATAAAGCAAGACACCTTTAATTTTTAAAAAGAAGGTAAAGACCAAACCACAAATAAGTGTCTACCTGGTTTTTCAAAAATCAATGCTTTGTCAAATGGGGAATAGCTATTCTTCTCTACACAGATAGGCTATGTGGAACATTTCTCAAGAATTGCTATTTGGATACATCATGCCGAATATCCTTTTCAATGCAGAGGAGACACTTGTTCAAGTTATGCAGCACAATCTTGTTTGTGCCCTGCTGAGTTCCATAAACTTTCTGCCTCACCATCCCCATATGCCTACACACAAAGCTCGGATCAGGAACCAAGCTGAGAAAACATGGCTCAGAGAAAGTGAGATGTCCTTCTTTTCTCATGTTATGGACATCAGCGTAGGCTACTTTCCATTTTATTCCTGAGGAAACAAGCCAGTGCATTTATGTCTCATTGTGTCTTGCGTGCAGAGTAAATATATGGTATAAGAAAAATAAAGATTTGGGAAATAATAATAGCACTCTTGCTAAGTTGTATGCATTTCTCCCTAACAAGGACAGACTATTATTACACAAAAACTAAGAATAAGGTACCTTAACCTCATTGGTAATCTAACATTTAGAGTACGCTAAGTGGAATATCAGTATTTACTTGAGATCCTGAAATTCTCCCCACAAACTAACATATCTTCTATTCCATGATACTTACGAGTGATGTGTAGACCAAAGCTACTACTGCACCAGCAACTTCAATTATGAAGATGATCAGGATAATGCTGAAGAACTAGGAAGAGGTAATAAGTAATAAGTTAAAGTAATAAGTTTGCTTATTCTACGAAGTATTAATACAAAAATGAAGCATTGGATGCCCTTGGCTAAGTGTGTTCCATATCTGGAAAAATAGCTGCTTAGTCTCAGTCTGAAAGACTGTTAAAAGCAAATTTTAAAGAGAATTAGCCCATTTCATATGGGATTTCTCATATAAAACTCAAGCTCCCTCTTCATATTCTTTTACTTTCACTGCATCTTCTTATTTGGATTCTTAGATTTTTCAGAAGGGTTTTTTATTAGCCTAAATTGTTATTTTAGCGGCAGTGTAGAAGGTCATTGATATTTTCATGAGTTTAGTGACATAATTTTGATTTTGATTATCCTTCATATTAAGAAAATTCCTTAGAGCTCATTCTGAACTAAGCTGCTAAGATATTTTTGGTCTTGTTTGCTAAACAAAGGAGAAGGGAGGTGGAAATCTTCATATAACTTCAAAGCTTTTCTTTCTGTGAAAGTCTCAGACTCTCAGTTCTCATTCCTGAATTATTGGCCATCAAACCAAGGTCATATTTTGTAGTCTCCTGACCATGCCTGGGCCTTGAAGTCACAGTGTCGGGTTTTGATTAAAAAAAAACCTTGGAGTTGTTTGTTGGGAGCTTCTGCACAAAACTGGTGTTGTTATTAAAGAGTTCCTGATAATCTGTAAACAATCTGGATATTATCTTTCTTGCTATACATGTTTTTTGTGTTATGCTTTTAAATCTGTTTGCTTGAGCAAATAATCAGGCTTAAAATCCCTTTATTTACTTGGGTGTTCATTGTCTCTGAGTCCAAAACAACCAATTGCCTGGGCAACCAATTGCTGCCCTGACCCTTGGCAAAACAGTTATGATTTAGCATGTTGTTTGAACAAGACCTTATTTCCTTGTTAAGTTATCTAACAGGGAAATAAAAATCAGCATTTACCAGCAATAGCTGGAATATGCACTTAAAAAAATAACTTAGTTTTATGACCCAAACAAGGGGAAAATACTGTATAATCACAAATAAGGAAACACTGTATTCAAAAACTTGAATATAAACTGGAACTCTTTCTATTGGGAATTAACATAGAGAGGTACAATGAAGAAATTACATATTATGTGATTACAGCTGTGAGATTAGTCTATGCTCAAAAATGGAAACTTAAGGAAATTCCAGGTGAAGCAGAGATAATTAAAAAGATATGGACATGCACAGAAATGGATAAACTAACATTGGAATTAAAAAATAAAGATGAATCTGAATATTATAAAGTATGGAAAAGTTTTACCACTGGCTAGGAAAAAGGAAGGACTTTGGAAGGAAGGATTGGAAAAAGGAAGGAAGGATTGTAAGATAATAGACTAGGAGTATAAAGAACTGTTGATATAGATGTATACTATGTAAATATGTATTGTTTGTCATCCAAAATAACTATGTATGACAATTAGGTGTGTCAGGATGATTACACCATGTTCACTGTTTTTAAATGTTTTTCTTTTTGTTTAATAAAAAATTTTCTTTAAAAAAATTGAAAAAAAGATAGAAATTCTATCCCTAGTATATCTGGATTAATCACTTTGGATCTTTTCCTTTAAAAAAATGACCTCAATGAATAACTTTCAATAATGCCTTCATCGTGCTAGGTTTCATTACATACTTTAGTATCAATCAACACTTTTATGCAGCAAACAATGAAAATGCTTTGCAGAATTTACCATGATCAGAAGGCATTTGCTCTCTTTCTGAGCTCCACAGCATCCTAGGAAACCCAGCAGGAACAGAGCAGCTCCAATGGCAATGAGGAGGTAACCAACATGCACAAATTGGAGGACACTGGCGGATATTGTACCAAATATATCGAGGAAGGATTTACTGTCAACAGTAACCCAGATCCCGATGCCCATCAGTGTTGCTCCACCAAGCTAGACAAAAAACAACAACACAAGAAATATATGCTCAAGTGTAGATAGTGGAGGTGTACATGCACATCCAGAGGTGGTATTCAGCAGGTTCTGACTAGTTCTGGAGAACCGGTAGCGGAAATTTTGAGTAGTTCGGAATACCACCTCTGACTGGTCCCGCCCGCATCTATTCTCTGCCTCCCAAATCCCAGCTGATTGGCTGGGTCTTCTTTTGTTGCTCTGCACAGGAAAACCAACTGAAAAGCAGGTTAGTGGGGTCGGGACTCAGGAGGGAATGGGGATTTTACAGTAACCTTCCCCCAGGAGTGGGGAGAGAATGGAGACTTTAGAGTATCCTTCCCCTGCCACCCCCACCAAGCCACCCCCACCAAGCCAATGCACGCCCACCAAGCCACAGAACCGGTAGTAAAAAAAATTGAATATCATCACTGTACAGATCCATACATGCAAAATTGTTATCTTTTAGCTATGCACTTGTAACACACGTGCTTCACCATATTGAAAAGACTTCAGACAAGTACTTGGAGGCTTCAGTTTTCCCACATCCACAACTCTGCAGTCAAACATGCTTCTCAAGTTCTTGCTAGTCATTGCATATAACTAGTAGAGTGATTTCACCAAGAATAATTATTATTCACCAGAAACAACTGTTTCTAATTAGGAATTTCTCATTTCTCATCAAAAGGTGATGTGAGATTTGATGGCAAGCCAAAATATCATCTTAAATATCACCTTAGTCATAAGACTATGCATTTTATTTATTTATTTTTATTAAATTTATATGGTTGCTCATTTCCCCAGGAGCAACTCTCAGTGGCAAACAACAATCAATATAAAAGTACAAAACTATTATTTTTTTTAAAAAAAAAGATCAATAAAAATCAAAAGATAGAAATCGTAGGATAGAAACACAGTAAATATATCAACTCCAATAGTGGAGCGATCTTAGAGTACAGGTAGTCCTTGACTTATAACAGTTCATTTAGTGCAGCAGTCGCCAACTGGTGGGCCGTGGCCCACTAGTGAGTTGCGAAAAAATTTGGTGGCCCGCAGAGTAATCTCACCCCCAGAGCACCCCCACAAAGCAATTAATCCAGGCTGCACAGAAACACAAGGCTGCACCACCCACATGGTCCACGGGAACCCTCCCCTCCCACTCACTCCTTACCTGGCAAACTTGCCTGCTAAATTGCTATTTTTCCTTCTTTTTTTTCCCTGACCATCAGCTGTTCTGCTGTGCCAGGAGATTTAGATTAGCTACAAAGCAGGAAATGGTTGGATTTCTTGCTTTCTAGCTAGTCTTTAGATCTTCGGCTCTGCTTTTAAGCACAACTGAACCTTCCTTAGGACTGAAGGTTCTATTATTCAGTGCAGACTCATGGCAAGCAAATTTTATGTGACAGACTGAGGTAGCCGATGGCAGATAGATCGATCACTGAATGAATCTGTGATTCTGTGAGCAACTCAATCTGCCTGCCTGCTTTGCCTGATTTTGGGTAAAAGTTGCTCTTTTTTATTAAAAAAATCAATATTTATATAAATATTTATAATATTTACATACAAGCCATGCCCAACCAGTCACATGACCACCAAGCCACATCTACAAATTAGGCCACGCCCACAGGTTACTGGTCCCTGGGATTTAAAATTATGAGTTTGGTCGTCCCTGAGGTCCAAAAGGTTGGCAACCCCTTGATTTAGTGATCGTTTGAATTTACAACAGTACTGAAAAAAAATCACTTATAATCATTGTCCATACTTAAAATTGTTGCAGCATCCCCATGGTCACATGATCAAAATTCAGACACTTGGCAACTGACTCGTATTTATGATGATTGCACTGTCCCAGGGTCACGCGATCCTCTTTTGCGACCTTCTGACAAGAAAAGTCAGTGGGGAAGCCAGATCCACTTAACAATGTGTTACTAAGTTAACAACTGCAGCAATTCACATAACAACTATGACAAGAAAGGTCATAAAATGGGGCAAAATTCACTTAAGAATTGTCTCATTTAGCAACAGAAATTTTGAGCTCAATTGTGGTCATATGTCAAGAACTACCTATATTACTAGTTCCCTGGGATCCCCAAACATAGCAACATAACTAGGTCTCGAGGAACTTCTGGAATGTTAACAGAGATTGAGCTAAACTGGATTCAGGACTGAAGAATGTTCTATAAGGCAGGCACCATAGCAGAGATGTCCCACCTCTCAGGACCCATCAAATATTTTTAGCAACTGATCTTGTAGTCTAGTTCCCACATACATAGTTGAGCTGGAATTGTGTCTAACTATAATCATAGCCCTACAGCTTGACAAATACATTCTAGAGTCTAGACTACATTTTGACATAATCCTTACGGAAAGTACATTTATCCCTTAAAAGGTTTTGCAATATTTCTTGGGCAGCTTTTTTGACTTGTTAAAGCATTACATTTATGTCCTTTAGTGTAAACATTAAATGAGCTTTTAAAAGGTTTTAAAAGTCAAAAGGTAAAATTCAATAAATTTGAAAATAAGCTTAATATTTAAGTTAGGTTTAAATACTTCCTACTCTAGAATCCTGATTTATTTCCATTTCCTACAAACTGAAGATACTTTCCTATTTGTGATTCTATCAAAAATAATTGACTCAAACAAATATGTTTTAACACTGCTAACATATTTAATGCATGACTAAATATCATCAGTCCTGTATGATTACTTTAAATGTATTTCTATTTAAGGAAGTTATATAGATTTAACCATTGTACAGAAGATGATGTTTCAGCAAGTATAATGCCAAATCTTACTCTTCTGCATTGTCCTAAAATACCTAGAAGCCTCATTTTCTCTGACCCTGATCAATCTCGTTCACCCCCAGATAATTTTATAGTCCTCCATATTGAACAAGGCTGTCCTGAGCTCTTAAATATATGCAGTACAATGCAGTGAGACATGTACAGATCTATAACATTGGAGAAACAAAACAATCCCTTCACAATTGCATGGCACAACTGAGGAGAACAATCCCATCAGGACAAGGTTCAGCTGTCCATCTGTATTTGGAACACAAAGTCATACTTTTGAAGCAGTGAAGTCCACATTTTGGACAGAAAGGACCACTGGTTTGAAAGAGGGGTCAAAGAGACCATCTACACTGAAATTGATCCGCCCCTCTCTCAACAGAGGAGGAGGGATACAACACCACCTATCCTCTGTTTACAACACAGTCCTTTCCTGCATTTCCAAGGAAGTTCCACACCTATTTAAGAGGTCTGTAAGGGGCATGCATAAAAGTGCCCCATCGTGCCTACCGTCCCTGTCCTATTGTCCCCATTTATTCGTACCTATTTTCCTGTATTCTTACTCATGTTTATATTTATATCTATTACCTTGTAAGCGATTGACAAATCAAATAAATAAAATATTTGCACTATTTGGATGACCCTGAGGGCACACATAAATCTCCAAGTGGCCTCAATGACTTTCAAAGAGACTGCTAACAACTAGATGACTGCAAGGAATATAAATCCTTCTATTCTCCACCAATCAGTCACAACTGAAGAAGTTTATTGGATGAGAAGCAAAACATCTTCAAGAAAAAAACAAAGCACGCCCAGTTGTCCTTTGGACAAACACCTTTGGGACTATGATTCTATTGTACTAGCACAGGAAGAATTGTTTCAAATTTCCCAGCCTTTCAAGGAGGTGTTATCAGAAGCAACCAAGTATTTCAACTGTATAAATATTTCTCTTTAAGTGAACAATGCCTGTAACATAATTCACGAACATTCCTAAAGAGGTCAAAGCAATTGTCCTTGAACACAGGTGCAGGTTTTATTTACTTTCAAACAAAAGGACAAGCCACAATCTATATCTGAAATATTGGTGCCAGGCTGAATACATGGGGTCTGTGGGATGAGAAGTCACTTCCTTTTGGGAAAAAACACATCATAATTCCCAGATTTGTAGAACAGATTCAGAAAATCTGAACCCAAGTTGCTTAAAAAAAAGTTTCTGCCAGATTCATTTGACCTCTCAGAATTATTATTCAATAAACAGCTTATACACTAATTGCTGAAAGGGTTGTAAACGCAGCTTCTTTGGGAAAGAAGTGAACATTGCCCTATAATACTAATTCAGAAATCCAGGATTTTAGGACAGTTGATCAGGCACTATTACATCTTCCTAAAAACAAGAGGCAAAACAAGAAGTATCCACTATTGTTCTACATTAGTATTTTTAAAGTATCATTTTTGTTTCTCTAGGACTTGTCACCTTCATTCTTTTAAAAGCCCTATTTCAAGGAACTGACCTTTATTAAAAAGTAGGCAAATAATGCCAGTGATCCTAATTTTTCTAAGGAGAATTGCAAGACAACCCTGCATTGTAGATTAATGTTGTGTATTTTGTAGGCTGCTTTTTGTCTAATGAACATACATAAGGTGAACGTAAAGATGACTGTAGTTCCATATTTTTTTTCATAAATCTCTGTTAGGGGACTGCATGACAGTCTGGGAGGGGATGAAATAAAGTGGTAAAGCTACTCTTTCGTTCTGATATCTTTTTTCTCACTTTTCAATATGTTTTCTTCTTATTTTTTTCTGTCCCTGACACTATTCTCTTCTGCTTCCCAAAAAAAGGGGGTAGATCACTGAACAGCAAAGATCTAATTTAAATGTTTCAGAACATATTAAATTAGAATTAGGCTGTAGGCCCACAGATTACCCAGATAAAAACAGGGAAAAGGAACACAGGGATAGGGAATTACTGGGGATGGGCACAAAATGAATGCCACATTTTGAATAATGTCACAGAACAAGAGAATTTTAATCCTTCAAGGAATCATTTTTTTAATTACTACTAAAAAAAAAAATCAGTGGTACCCTTTGAGACTCAATATTTCACCATCTGAGGCAAGACTGCCCTCCCTTCAAAATACCCTGTAAATAACCAAGAAAAACTTTCAATGTATCACATTTCATCCATACCTGGGATACAGTTTCTTCCAAAGAATGTCACTTGTGACTCCTGGCCTCTGAAAGGTAGCACACCCTTGTTACGGTTCTTAACAATTTTGTGACCTCATTGTATATATCTGGGTCACCTCACAGAGTTTATTTCAAATACAGGCACAGGATTTAACAAGAGCTGTATGAGCAACTGCTCTTTCTTCATTCAAGTTTTGAAACTAGGTGTATGCTAAAGGTATCAGTTCAAGTTGACATTCAAGACTTCCTTGAGAACATTAGCCAGGTATGGAGAATGACGGCTGAACCGCTTTTTGAAATAACATTTATAGAACAAGTATGACATCAAAGCCACATCCACAGAAACCATAAAACTGACTCAGTTTGTCCGAGAAATAGGAACAGATTTTAATGACTACCTTCGTCTTGAGCCACAGTTGTACTCAAGTTATCCTTTGTAAATTTGAGGCTTGGCCTTTCTTTGCAGAAAAGCATATTTCTTTAGAAGGACTGCCTGTAATACAGCCTTAAAAAATTGCACAGCAACCCTTCTAATTGTTCTACCAGTATTGCAGCCCCAGAAAACAGCTAAAAACACAGAAAAAAATATCTACAAGCCAACCATATTATTAAATGACTGTTTCATGTTATTTTGAAATAGTTTAATCTGTGGGCTGACATAACTACAACTAATATTTGCGGGCAAACTTCAGCTTCACTGAATATATGATGCAAGTCACTAGAAGCCATAACATGTAGCCATGAAGAGGCCAACGGATCATCTAATATAGCTTCTAAAACTGTTTAACATGAATTTATGGGACAAGCAGACAAAACAATAGTAGAATCATGACTAAGGGAGAGGAAGTTTGGACACCGATCCTTCCATACATGTATGTGTTCTTTCCCAAGTACTGTCACCAACTTGCCCCCAAGAAAGATGCTATTTGCTAACCAGGGATTATATTTATGTTGTAGTTGTGACCATTTCTTACCACATATCTCATTGTACGCAATGATTATTCACATGCTACATTTTTGATAAGCTCATTTGTTTCTATTAAATCATTCATAGTTGACTGGTAGAACCAAGTTGGCAAAGGTTACTACAGCATGTGATCACCAGAGATTAATTGAAAGATAAAGACACAACTTGCCATAAACATGCTAATAATGTACTGTAAACCGATACCTGCCTGATGTGGTTTTAAAGAGAAGAAAAAACTAATGGTCTAATCTGTCCTTCATTAGAATTCTAAATATGTTTACTGAGACTTGCTTTGACTTTGGGTTTCAGCTTGACATATGTCTTGTTTCATATCTATTAAACATACAGACATGGAGCTAAAAGGAGGTGAAAAAGGTTCTCTCATCCACTCATTCTTTTACAAGAATGCAAAGCACCTCACTGCTTATTTACAGAAAAAAGAGGTAAGTACTCACAAATATGGCCAGGTTAAACAAAATCATCATGACCTTCAGGAATGTAAAGCAGCTCATTTTGATAGCTGTAAAATAAAATAAAAACAAATAATGAAGAATTTAACAAACAGCTGGTCAAGAAACTTTTGCAGAACTAATAAAATATAATAATGGACTATGTAGAATTTTAGAAAATAATGAATATATAAAGATGTATTTTTTTTTCTTTTTCTATTATATCTATAAAATGTTTTTAGGATAGTTTTGGGAGGATTATATGAATTGTTATAAAATAAACTAAGTAAATTATAGTTATCTCGCAAAATATGAATGAATAAAATTATTGTCAAATGATTGATTAATAATGATGCTAGAGTATTCAATTTTCGATTGATAATATGAGCTATTATGCAATGTAACTGTAATTGAAGACTATGAAATGAATGCACAAAAAAATTTGTAAACCAACCGACACACTGCTTGTATACTTATGGAAGAAAGTTTTGATGTTTTGATGTTTTGTTTGTTTATGTTTGTCTTTAAAAACCAATAAAATTTACAAAAAAAAAAACCAAGAAACTTTTGGAGAACTAAATCCAACTGATATTTAAAAATTTGGACACAATTTATGTTCTGGTAATTTACAAAAACTTAGTGTGACATTCAAAGGGGTTTCTTCGAGGGTAAAAGCCTATTCTGAATTTTATTATTATATGGATATTATTGGGCAATATTTGGGTAAGAGAGTTATGTATTAATCTAAATGCAGGGCCTAAAAGACCAATGTCCCATTAATTCACATCACTTCCAGCTGGAGCCACATTGACCAAAATTATGGAAGTAAAGCTGCAGTTTATGGAACTCTGGTTTAGATTAAAATCTTTTAGGCAGTCTTAAGACCAATATCTATTCTGTAGAGCACTAGAAAGATATGATAAAGTAAAAGGAAATAATAAGAAAAACCCAACAGGCTTTATCCACTTGTCTTTTTTTCTTCACCTGATGGCTTTCATAGCAGAAGCCAGTTGATGCCATTGTCCCAGGTCAGCACTGGCCGTATCAGAATTGAAAAGAGCTCAACTCCCACTTCTTGCCATAATCCAGATTAAAATATCCCCCCAAAAATTCTTGTCTAGCCTCCTCATGACCTTCAGTATTTGGTTCAACACTGAATTGTTCTTATTGTTAAGACTTTTCCCTTCAACATTTAATTGGAATCACTTTTCTAAAACCTAAACCTAGGATTTGAAAGAACGGGTTTTGCTTTTTTCTAGTATTATTGCATCATCTGTATCTTCTCAGTTGAAGGCTAAATTTTCCTAATTCTACCAATCTCTGTTTTTAGGATTTAATTTCTAGTCTCCTGATAATGCTTGTTGCCCTTCCTAGAACCTGTTCCAGTTTGTTTGACTGGTGCAATACTGGATCTGGCCAGTACAGAAATAAAACAGAACTATTCAAATCAAATCAAACAGTTTTTTTCCTATGATCTAGAAACTATAAAGTCTAAAACAATATTTGACTTTTTACATCAGCAGCAACAACACATCAATTATCATGTCAATCTTTTTTCACAAGTTAAATTGCTGAATCTCCAGTTGCATTAATGGAAATGACAAAGTAATCTGGACCAATAAGTCTAAAAGAGCTATGTTCCCCTACATCCTCACCTTTAGTAGCCTTGATGTTACTACAAAAGAAATTATTCCAGAGCTGATTTTTAAACCTTTAGAATTGTTTGATATAGTAATATTGCAATAACAAAGCTAAAGACATAAATTATATACCATATCAGAGTAAATAGCACAGATAGAAGGCAGTTAAAAATAACAGACAAGTCCTTTTGTTTTAAAGAAACAAACATTAAATAATCCTCACTTCCTTTTACTAAGGTCAAATTAAAATCTGAGGCTAATTCTTATGCACACCAACCTTCTTTTTCAAATATGGAAGAATCCTTACAAACAAAGATCCTTTGTTCATAAATACACAAGGAACTTACCTTTAAGGGCACCAACTAAGTCCAAAATCAACCTGAACAAGTCTCACTATCTTTACACTTGACAAAGCAGTCAACTCTTAAGTAACATGAAGAAATTGTTTCAGCCTATTAGACTAGTCACCTTTTCAAGCCAATCAAATCTCTGTAAGAGTTAAGGCCACACCTCAGCAACTTATTTCTTAAAAAAAAAAAAACTCACAGGACTACTAAACCATGTTCCTTTATTCTTTACTGCTCCCTTGTGGTTATAGGTGAATGGGTTTTTTGTTTTTTGTTTAGATTTACAGCTGGTTTGAATAATTTTGTCTGTGTATAATACAAGAGTGTGCATGAAGGAGTTGGAAGTAGCTGTGTCTGTGTACCTGCAGAAGAAATTAAAACTGATGCTACAACGTTGCTTGGCTTCCAGTGGTGGAGATAATAAGGAGAGACTCAGACAGTACTGTAGGATGGGATGGTTTTGTGCAATCAAGTTGGCCACTTAAGGCTGCCATCTCACTTCCAACACTGCTGCTTCCAATCCCCAAACCTCCAAGAGATCAAAAAAAAAACAAACATTGAGTCCAACTTAATGTATATGCCTTTCCCTTCATGTGACAACCAATTGCAAAGTAAATAAGTGCTTGGCAAACAAAAGTTCTTACAAATTTTGGGTGGGAGGAACGTCAATGCATTACTCTTGACAGAATGCAAGGTACGGCAGCCATTTTGGTGGCTTCCTCTGTCTTTCTCCTAGAATCACAACTCAAATAGCCTGGAATTTTCTTGGCAGCTAAGATCTTTGTATGGATTACATCATGGCTGCTGGTGGCCAGAAGGAGATGATCTGTACCCATCAAGGATGATTATTTAATGGTGTTTTGGAGTGTGAGCTAGATGAGGTTAGATCTGCCTTTTGCCTTCAGATGAGGAATGGGGAGAGGAGGAGATTCTCCCTGCTGGATCTGAGGTAACACAGTTTGGTTGAGGTGCCCCTATGCAGTGCTTGGCTTCCAATAGTGGAGATAGGGAGAAAGTGGAGGGCAGGATTGGTAATTGGATCAGATCAGATCAGCTCTAGATTGTCTTGCTCAATGATTATTTTTCTCATAGTGCGATCCTAAAGAGAAAAGAATGAACCAAGAGAGAATGGAACCAACATCTGAATCCTTGCCTATTTTTAACTGCATTAAAAATAAATTTAAATAATATACCACAATCCTGTATGCCAGACCTCTCATGAAGGTAAAGAATAACCAACATTTTCCTGCCTCTGATCACTGAGGTTGGTGACTGCCAGGAGGATTGGCCTGTCTAAATAGCAAACTTGGTCCCTCCTGGGGAAAAAGTGTCTCATCTCTGGTTTCAGTTAGTTATCTTAATGGGTCAGATACGTTGGCAGATTTGACCTTTTCTAGCCAGAATTTGAAGAAATCCCTATTAATATGCAGCTGATGTTTTTTTATTTTTTATTGTTTTAAATACTATGTGCATCTTTTGACACAACTATTAATAGACTTATGATTTTTTAAAAATATGCTGCCACCTAGAGGTCAAAACAGTTACAATTCTCTCCCATTCCCAGCAATACACAGAATATTATTGGCTGCAATAATTTAGACAGGTTCTACTAATTTTTCTTCCCATATTCTATTTTGCATCAATTTGGGTAGAAGATGAAAATCCTGCTTAAAGACAGAGTCACTTGTCCAAGCCTTTGGCTGCTTTTATTTGAATGGCTGTCTTTGCTGATCTTTACCAAAAGAATAATGCAAATAACTTTGCTAATGTTATGGAGCACAGTTTAAGAGAATCAATTATAGTTTTCCCACCCATTCTATAATAGTTGGAATCCATCAGGGACAAGACAACCCTTAAGTAGGGTAAAGGAACCCCTTCTAAAGGTAGACAAACACAATGGCATTTCTTGTGATTTAAAACACAATATGGTCTGTATGCCTTAGCATATTGTAGTTTATCATGCAGTCTACAAATCACATGCAAAAAAAATTGTGTGAATGTATAGCATTTGTAAATTCAGCCAACTGTAGTTTGGTACATTAAAAAAAGGATTGCACAAATCATGGAGTAATTCAAAGCGTGAACCTTCAAGCTGTTCCATCTTTTGAAAGAGTGCTGTGAGCTATAGATTTTGTCTTGCATCTTTTAAACTAACCTGCTTCCTCAGCTATAGTAAAGACATAATTAATCAATCAAATAAATCTAGTTATTGGGTAGAACGCTCCTGAGAAGAAAGAGTCTTGTGCAGTGGCGGGATTCAAAATTTTTTACTACTGGTTCTGTGGGTGTAGCTTGGTGGGTGTGTCTATGTGGTCATGTGAATGGGGGGTCAAAAGACAGAAACTCACTTTCTGGAGCAGGTGGTTGAACTAGATGACCTCCAGGTATCTTCCATCCCTGGATTGCTGTGCTGCTTAAAAACATCCTCTGAAGCTGCATCTAGTGCCAAGGTTTGTGGTCCTTCCTTCCTCTCCTTTTTCCCTGCCTCCCTCCCTCCCTCCCTGCCTCCCTCCCTCCCTTTCTTTCTCCTATGCCTCCTCTTTCTTTCTCTTTCTTTTTTTCTTTTGCAGCACCCACCACGCCCCATTTTTGGCCTAGTGGGCCTCAGGGAAGTGCTGAAAAAAGAAGCATTTTGAAGTGAGAGAGGGGACAGCTTTGCCACCCAATTTAGATTAGCTAGAAAGCAAGAAACCCAATGGCTTCCTGCTTTCTAGCTAATCTAAATCATGCAGCACAGATGATGGTTGCCCAGCTGATAACCGGAAATACCGGTTCGGCCGAACCAGTAGCATTTTTTACTACCAGTTCAGTTAAACTGGACCGAACCATTGATCTTGTGACAGCCTGACTATGCTGTGTATTTCTCAGAAATACTACAATTCAAAATTTAGTTTAGTAAATTAATATTTTAGAAACTTTACTTTAATCCAGTAGGGCAAGAAATAAAAAGGAATCCTTCCTGGGATTCCCTAAGAGAGAAGTCCACACTGTAACACAATGAATTAAAGTATGATTTGCTTAAGCAGGTGTTGTTAAATTATAATTGGGGAGGTTCACACAAAATGCTATAAACCATGCATTACCAATTATAAAAACTAGATTTGTACCAAACCAAGCCTAACATGCCAACAACACTAGATTCAATGTGTAAATCTAGATTGGGAATGGAAAACCTTGGCCAAAGTCAGGATAGATGTCATCTTGCATCTTATACCATTGGGTGTTCTCTCCCTTTCTACCTAGAAAAAGCCAGGAACACGAAGGCCACTGTAAAGTTTTATATAGGAAAATAGTCCTTGTTATTCTTCCCCCAGAAACACAAGTTTACATCCCTTGGTTTCATCCCATATTTTGTGATGATGTGACAAACAGAATTCTAAAGGAAAGCAATTAACCTGCCATTTGGTAATTGAACTTTAAATGTTATGCATTTTAACTGAGAAGTTTTTCCCCCTGAAATTTGAATTGTAGGCTCCACAAAAATCAAACAGGATTTAAAGCTACACAAATGAATTAAAGTAGTACTAGAATACTTCCTTGGTTTACTATCTGCACCCCTCCCTATCCTGCAACAGCTACATGAACTGAATAACGAAAGCATTTTGGGACTATCTGTAAGCGTAGCATTTTCCACATCTAAATAATGACTAATATAAGCATGTCTTGAAACTCACTGTGCAAGTGCTCAGCACGGCAAATAGTATAGTATTAGTATCTCCCTACATGTTACTTAGCCAAGCAATGTGGTGAACCAGAAGGCGGAAACTTCAGGACCAAACAACAGCTCCTTCCACATTAGCAAAAATTCTGTGATTCACCTTGGCAACTTTTAAGATATGTGGATTTCAACTCCCAAAATTCTCCAGCCAGCAGGGGAAGCTGAAATCCACACATCTTAAAAATTGTCAAAGTTGAGAAACCCTGGTCTAAATTAATTTAATGAGGGTTTTTAAAATCATCATCATCTGGTTATTTAATATCTGCAACACCATCAAACATCCAGATTTGCAGGACTCGATAGGTATACAAAAATGCCAATTCCAGTCTGAACATTTGGCTGACTGTGTGATGATAAATAATAATAATAACAACAACAACAACAAACAGATCATCATTTGGAACACAACACACCAGATATACAGTTGTCATAAGCCGAATTGTACCAGAAGATGCCAGTCAAAGAAAATGAACTGGAAAAAAGCATGAAATATTGCTTCATTGAAACTATGCAATTATGGATGAAACATGTAACAGTGATACCCATTGTCATTGGGGCACTTGGTACCATGTCCAAGAATTTTATAAAATACATCAAGAAATTGCAGCTTCCTGCAATAACACCAGCGGAACTACAAAAAAATGTGCTTACTCGGAACAGCGTACATCTTAAGAAAATACTTGGTTGATATACCTAGGATTCTGGCAGCAACCCATCAACCATTAGTGCCAGTCAATTATATTTGAGATACATTTTTAAATGTTCAGTTGTCTGCGTTTCATGCTTAATAATTAAATAATAATAATAATAATAACAACAACAACAACAACAACATCTGAGGGGTTCTTGGTGTTCTCTGAGCTTGCTTATTTACTTGCAGACATTTCATTATCCTAACTAGGTAACATCATCAATGCTAGTAAGGAGTGCTTTTTACTGTCAGTTTATATTCTGCTGTTTTGCCTGTCTGTGTGGGTGGCAGCGGTCTTGGAAATTCTCTGGTCGGGGCTGTTTACTGATGGCTCTGTGGCAGTTTCTTGATTGGGGTATTGTTTACTTGATTGTGGGCCTGAAGTTAACCTTGGAGTTAACCTGTGCTGATCTAGGTGCTGATTATTGGTGGAGAGGTGCTGGAGTCTTTTTCTCTTTGGGGCTGGTTGTTTGTCTCTTTTGCATAGTCTATAGACTATAGTTAATGTTTATGTACTCTATTGATGGCTGATTTATCAGAGTGTCAGGCTTCTAGAAATTCCCTGGCATTTTTTAACTTGGCCTGGTCCAATAATGCCTTCTGTATCTCCTCTCTCCTTTCCTTTATTTATTTATTTATTTATTTATTTATTTATTTTAATCACACAGCTGCTTCCAATCTCTTCTGTAACTTGATTTCTCAT